CCCCCCCGCCTCGTCCACCCGGTGTCCCGCTGGCGCAAACGCCCGGACCCGGGCCCCGGCCGGCGTGAGGGACCATAGCGCGCTGCTGCTCGCACTGGGGGCACAGGGCTGCCCACCGAGCCCCCAGGCACACCGGCGTGGTTACGTGGGCGCCTTGCGCCCCCTCAGAGGTGCGGGAGCCACTAGTGGGCCGCAGGCCGAGGGGCCTGCGCTCGGCCCCGGCTTTGCCCCCCAGCACCTGGTGTAGAGCGTGTGCCCACCTTCCCCCTCTCTTCGGCACAACCACCTGTGTGTGTGTGCACTGTGCTGTTGTAGCACAGGTTTCCCTCCTTCATCATCCCTCTCTTTAAGAGATGGGTCTCTGAGCCGCCTGGGCTTGCTGCATGGGTTAGTTGTTGGCTGCTGGTGCCTGTCACAGTGGGTCAATGGGAAAGGGTGAAATCCTGTTGTTAAGCAGTTACAGAGCCAGCGCTTTCATCAGATTAGTCATGCATGCACATGCACAGGCAGATCTCTTGTAAGCCTATCTGATTGCCTGAGGAATTGAGTGGATGTACTGCACACAGGTGGAGAGTCAGGACCAGCCAGAGCTGTCAAGCATGTCTGTACAGCACACTCGGGGCTACAGCCTGTGAAGGCATCATGCAACCCTTGCATCCTTTCCAATCAGCTGTCCAAAGGTGGCAGGCAACAGAAAGCCAAATTAGCCCCAGCATCTTCTAAAGGGCTCATTCATTACTACTGCAAAGGATTCAAGACAGAGGTGAAAAAACTCAAGAAATAGCCTGTTCGGAAAAGACAAGTCTTTTTCCCACCTAGTTAGCCTTTCTTCACGCTGACCACTCAGGAGGTCCCTGTTCAACAAACCTCACTTAACTCTTACCTTAAATCCCATCATCTCCACTGATGAAGGAGTCTTCTTTTTATTTAGATGCCGGCAGACACTCACATGACTCTTTGTCAGAGGCTGCTCACAGTCACATGCTGTCTGCAGACTACAACTCCCAGCCATGCCTGAGGTTAAACCTGACCCATCACAGACATGCTGGTTCCCCAGCACTTACAGATACTCCCTCTGGTCCTGCCGATGCTTTTGTGTCCTGACAAGTGCATAATGATGACAATAATTACTTGCGATATAGTAGAGCCTAGAGGAATTAGAAGAGGGTAGAGGCCTATGCCGGTTATGCTGTGGAAAAGTGTAGTGTGATCCAAAGTGAGGGGTACAGCCTCTTTGCACAGATCAATGTCTGCTACTGCGGCAGCTGTAACACATCAGAGTAAAAACCCACCAGCCCTTAGGCTGAGCACAATGCCTGTGAAGATGTTCTCGTGCATGTACACATGTGTGTCTGCAGCTGGTGAAACTCTCTCTAAAATCACCCCTTGCCCTCCAACCCGTAACCCAGGGAGGAGTTACCCAGGTAACTTGACCAGGACCAGGACCTTGCCAGAGTTGAACCCACCAAGACCTGCTCTTTACCTCCAATTATTGATGATCTTTCTAAGGGTCCCAGTGGTGGATCCATACCCCATTTGGCAATGCACAGCACAACAAAACCACGTCTCCTGTCACCAGGATTTTACAGTCTTCAGCTTTCGTGCTTGTATTGCGGAGCATGAGTTAACTCCTGGGAGCACTTGGCCTACGGGTCAGGTGGAGGCAGAATGGGAGCAAGTCAGAATAAGCCATTAGCATGGTTGGGAAAGGCTAGGTGCAGCCTGAAGGAACAGGGATACAGATTGCTTTGAAAATTAAAAGCCTAAATTAGCCTGGTATTTGATGATGGCAAGCATTTGATAATGATAGCTAGTAAATGTGTAGGGATGGTATGTTTAATATTCTGTACCCTAGAATGAGAAAGGATTCTAACTCCCCTGCAGTTTAATGTTTTTAGTGCTGGATGGTTCCTAGGTATTAGATTGTGTCAGTGATTGGGTGTGGAGGCGAAAGAATGAATTTGCAGGTGAATTTGCAAAAATGAGCATATAGCAGGATACTTGCACATAAAGCCACTTGAAGCACCAATCATTCAGACGTCCCCTGGTGAGATCTATCCATGCTCCTTCCCTCCCACAGAACAATCATAATAATAATAATAGTAATTGTAATACTAACAACAACATGTCCCTCCTACTGTACTTTTCATCAGTGCAGAAATGCTCAGAAAACCTCATTTCAATCATTCGCATTCTTCAGAGCTAATAAAGGGAACCAGCCAGCAAAAACAACTGGCATTTATTGGGTGCTTTCAAGAAGCTTAGCCTTTCGCTTTTCTAGAAAATCCAGGGATCCCTTTAGAGTGTGCACCTAGATTATACAGGTCAGGTGGGGAA